TAAAAATAAAAAAAACTCAATGTCCCACCTCCCCCAGATCTCTCCAGAAACATCTGCCCCTTCTTAGACCACTGGTTAATGACACCCAAGTGAGTGAGTCACTCGTGTTATTTCTCTAGGTACCCAGGATGGTTCTCTGGGCCTCAGCTGACTTTCCACTGATGGCAGAGCAACACACCTGCTCTTGTTCCTTTGTTGCTGGGTGCCGGTCGAATCTGATGGGTAGAGGGAGCCAGGGAAGGTTTGGCTGCTCTGTCTGGTCTAGCCTAGGTGCTTACCTCCCTGGGTAGTGGAGCTGCCTGGGGGTGGCTGAAGTGATGGGAATCTTGCTTCCTCTGCTGACCTGCTGTGTGGTCTTGGGCAGGTGTTCACTTTCTTTGGGCCCTTGTGTTTTGTCTGCAAGGTAAGGGGAAGGGTACATCCGCGTGCCTGCTGAGAAGCACACCCAGAGTGCCGTGAGCAGAGTTGTCATGTGCCACCCATTCTGTGGCTCGCAGGACACCACGTTTCCATGACAGGATGCGCTCTGACGGCACTTGCCGGAGAGCCTTTGCAGTGTTGACAGGGATGGCACGCGCAGTGAGCTAGCTCGGCTTCTGGAACTGTTTTCTGGCAGAGGTCAGCTCACCGAGTGACCATAGCCCAGCCTGGCAGGGGTCCTGGGCCAGCAAGCAGGGCTTTAAGAGGCTCTTAAGGAACAACTTCCTGTCTAAAAAGGAAGTGCTCTCATTTTTTTTCCCATGGGCAAAAGGATGCTGTGTTGATTTCCAAGGAAGGAAACAATCTTTTTCCCCCCTCTTTCGGGGGAAAATGCTTCTGTCTGTGTGAAAACCAGCGGTACTGGGGTCTACTCAAGACCCCAGAATAGCCCTCAGCGACCAGAGGCCATGAGTGCTTCTGGGGCCGGGCATATTCCCGCTGCTGCTCCAGGACTGGGGACCCAGCCGTGTACAGAGCAGGTCTTTTCTGCACGTGTTCCATGCTTTGGGAGAACTTGCATCTGAAAGCCACTCATGCTGAAATAACACACTAGGCCCACTGATCACTGTCACCCAAGGACTGACTGGAGGTTTCGGTGCCATTTACCTGGGCTAGCTCTGAAACTCAGGGAAGCATAGGCAGCTGTATCCGAAGAGGCTTCTGGATCCTTCTTGCTAGTCTTAACACATGCTGCCTCGTTCCCCAGTGAGGTCTGTCTTGCTAGGAGAAATGAGAGGTGACAACCAATATGGTGGCTGTCACTCTGAGTTCGCTTGTGCAGTGAACCCGTTCTGCTCATTAGCTCCACAGACACCCATTTAGTAGCCACATATGCCAGGCCTGGTACAGAGACACAGGTCTGGTGATGAAGCCAGCCAATCCTGGTCACAGCCAGTCCTGGTCACAGTCTCGCAGAGCTGGCGCTCTCTCAGCTCCACGGAGCAACACTGAACCAGGATGCAAACTCGAGCATGCGCATGGGCATGTCAGGCGCCTGTGCTCAGACTGGGTGCTCAGGGTGGTCGGGCGTGCATTTAGGGGAAACAGTCTTGTTCAAATGTTTCCTCCTCTTCCTCCTGATCACTGCAACTCGGATGTGCATGGCTTTCCGGATTGCTAATGGCCGGGGTGGGACTCATCCCCAAGGCATCACTGAGAAACCTCTCAGCACCCACGTGCTGGTACGTGTTGCTAAGTGGCTGTTAGAACCCCTAGACCCTCATCCACCCAGGTGTGAGAGTGTGCACTGGCCAGGGTGCAGTGATCAGAGCTGGAAAGCAGAGATTCCTGCTTCTCAGAGAGAAAGAGAGGGAGAGAAAAGGGAGGGGGAGGGAGGGAAAAGGAAGAAAAGGAAAACAGGCGAGGATCAGAGGGAGAAAAGTAGAAGGAAGAGAAGTAGATGGAGTAATGTGGAAGAGAAAGAGAGCAGAGAAGGATGGGGGACTCAGGGAAGCTGTGGGGGGGCACCCAGCTGGCGATAGGCATGGGCCAGGGGAGGGGAATGCTGGGAATGCTGGGAAGGGTGGAAGGCCAGTCCCATCTTTGATCCGCGGCTGTGGCTCTCAAACATTTCTGCCTCCAGTGGTGGGTAATGAGCAGAGGCTGTGTCCTGCTTCTCAGGCCTCCTGGCTCTCTCCCCGCTCCTCACCCGTGAGTGGCAGCGTGAGGCTCCTCTAGGGTAGATTCTATCAGGCTTGGAGCTGAACTAAAGCCCTGTGAGTAGCCCCAAAGGACCAGGACATCTCCTCCTGTTTCTCCCAAGGTTGTGTGGTCCTAGGAAGCAAATTGTGCAGTCAGGTGTGGACCCCGAGCGTCATCTCCTGCATGTCTGCAGATGGCCTCTCTTCCTTGCCACCGAGCTCTGGACCCCAGAACTTCTGGAGCCCAGGCTGCAGGCTGATGCGAGGACCTTGGCAGGAACATAACCTGCCTATCGTCCACTGTCTGGTTCCCGATGTCCCTCCTCTTTGAGTTGTCAGTGGTCAACGGGACATATTGGTTCAAGAACTGGTTTTGTTGGCTCTTGAAGAATCTATGACCCTTCTAAGGGTGTTAAGCTGCCTGGGTTTTTGTTTTGATTTGTTTTGTCAGTTGTGGGGCCTAAACTCTGGGCCTGGGCGCTGTCCCTCAGCTCTTCAGCTCAAGGCTAGCATTCTACTGCTTGAGCACAGCACCACTTCTGGCTTTTTCTGCTTATGTGGTGCTGAGGACTCGAACCCAGGGCCCAATGCATGCAAGGCAAGCACTCTACCACTGAGCCACCTTCCCAGCCCTGCCTGATTTCTTCTTTGCAGATGGCACTCACATAAAACACCGTGCCAGCCCCCTTCCCACCCTTCTCTGTCTCTTGAGTTCTGGTCTATGGTTTTGGTCTGGGTTCTGGTCTCTCATCTTCTTTGATTGTAGGTTTTGCACTCTGGTCTCTGACTGGGTTCTGGGTTCTGAATTATTACTTGATGGTCTGGATCTGGATTCTTGGTTCCAAGTTCTGGTCCGGGTTTGGGTTCTGGGTTCTGGGTTCAGGTCTAGTTCTGATTTCTGATCTGAGTTTCTGGGTTCTGAGTTCTGGTCTGGCTTCTAAATTCTGATCTGGTCTCTAGATTCTGAGCTCTGATCTGTGGTTCTGGGTTCTGAATTCTGGTCTACGCTCTCTTTGGACTCTGGGTTCCAAGTTCTGCTTTGGTCTCTGTCTGGGCTCCGGTGTGGCTGTTTTAAAGACTGCATCTGCCCCTCACAGGTCTGATGGGTGGCTGTGAGTACCCTGTCTCGGTGGTCTTTGTACCACCCTGGGCACACACTACCCCAGCCCAAGATGGGAGCGGCACTTGGGGGCAGGAAGGTGCTGGCGCAGCCCTTCCGGCTGCACACACCAGCGGTCAGCCCAGCGACCTGGCCTCTGGCCTCTGGCTCTCAGGGTCCAGCTGGTGATCAGCTCTGAACTTGGGGAGGAAACAGCCCCAAGGAAAATGTGCTCGCGAGTAACCCCGACTCCAGCTTGAGCAGCTGCCGCAGTAATGAGAGGGTGCCTGGTATTTAGCGCTCACTCCCTGGTGATGTCACTCAGAACCCCTGGGAGCCTCTTGCCCAGCTACTCAGCCCCGAGCCGCGCAGTTCCATCTGGGGAAGCCCTGGGACCAGTCTTGTTCAGGGTCTCTGCCTCCCCAGCTCTTCCGTCTGCCCATCCTCTGCGTGACACCAGCTCTTCGGGCTCCGGGCCCCTCTCAGACAATTCCCCTCGGCCCACCCATGCTTCTTGGTCGCTAACTAGCCCTTGCCAGTGGCACTGGGTCCGGGTGCAGCTCTGAGCTGCTCTCTGCACCCTGCATTTGTTTCTGGGCCCCCTTTCCCACTGGGATGACTCTGTACTCCCGGGGCCCACAGCTTCTCTTCTTAATGAGTCAGAGTAGCGGGGACACAGGCTTCCTGCCCTTCCCTTCCCTTCCTCTCCGCCTCGCTCAAACAAGGCCTCAGGGACTCTCCTGGTGGCAGGTTGGAAGGTTCAGATGTCCTATCTGTGCAAGATGTGAAGGCAGCAGGGAGAAAGCTCCCTGGGGCCCAGATGCTGGCAGACATACAGGCTTGGGTGCCCAGCAGAGCCGGGGGAGAGAGACAGGACAGGGGCCCCTAAGGCAAGCCCCCCAAGAGTCCCCGTCTCACAAACTGCCTGTCAGCATTCTGTGCAGGGGCTGAAGTTGTAAAGGCTCCATTCCCGTTGGCAAGGGTGAGGAAGGCTGCCTCCCCACCCGACGCCGTCCCGCACCCCGTCGCTCAGCTGGAAGTCTTAGCTGTGAACCCCACTGCTTCGATTTATCTTTTCTAGCACGTGTAAACAGCCCACTTGAAAATACAGTGTGTGGCTTTGCAGATCTCTTCCTCTTTTGTAGAGCTTTCAGATGAGAGACTTGGCAGAAATTCTAAAGCCATTTGATGTGATTGCATGATGATGGCCAACTTTCAATTATTAATTAAGGAATTAATAATGTATTGATTAATTATAAAGTGATTCCGGACAAATGGATCCCGTATCAATAATTGATATATAAAGTAGAAGTAAATAACTTGTAAATGAAATGTGAAGCGAGTTGCTTAATTAATTCAGGCACACGCACAGCACCCCGGGCTAGGAGCAGCCCGGCAGAAGGTGCTGTGCTGAGTCAGGCTCTGCTTACACCCCAGGGCCTCCTCACTCTGAAATGGGGATGGCGGATCCTCGTGGACTAAATAATACAGAGGAAAGTGCCTCGTCCACTCCGAAGCAGCGTGCCTGCACTGTAGTGCTCATCATGATAACCTGTTCAGTGCAACCCAGGACTAAGACAAGGGAAGGGGAGAGAGGCAGGGCTCGGGGTCTGCTTTGTAGCCTCAGATGCAGGGTTTTAAAGTGCAGATGGAGAGCGATGCTTTTGGCACCACTTCTGAGTCAAATGTGTGTATTGGCGTGTTTTGCACGGGGGGCGGGGGGAAGAGGGGTCGAATGTGATGATCCACGTGATAGAAATGGATGTGATCTGCTTCTGCAGGATACAAGACCCTTCTGAAAGGAATCTCGGGAAAATTCAACAGTGGAGAGCTGGTGGCCATCATGGGCCCCTCGGGGGCCGGGAAGTCCACGCTCATGAACATCCTGGCTGGGTACAGGTGAGCAAGCCCTGCCAGGCCCAGCGTTCCCCCGGTTCGGGGCCCGCACTACAAGGGTACCGCTGCGCCCATTGCCACAGCTTGCTGCCTGCGCAGAGTGGCAGCTGCTCCAGGCTCCGCTCACGGGGCTCCGGTGGAGGTCGGTGTGTGTCCGCATCCAGGAATCCCTGAAGGAGACAAGGCTCAGAGCTAAAGGGCCTTCCCTGCCGATAGCCACACGTGGACAGGAGTGGGGGCCACAGGCGGGTGGACAAGGCAGCGTCCTACGTGAGCTCAGTTCTCTGGGGGCAGGAAGACGTAGGGAGACTTTGTGACAGTTGAATGCATTGAATGCATAAGGCAAGGCACAGGGGAAGAGGACCAGCCGGGCTGAGCCTTCTGCTTTCTGTGAGTTGTTTGGAACTCTACAGGCCAGATTCCCTGGTGTTGTTGGTTTATTATAAACGGGATCTTGAAAAGTATTTGAAAATGCTTTCTGGCTCTTTAGAGTGCTCATAGGTTCCATGTGATAACTTTGGTAAATATGTAGACTGGGTCTTGAATCCAATCCCGTGTCTGTCCCTCCATCCCTCGGTTATCTACCTGGTACGTGAGTCTGCAGGGAAGAGCCGGGAGGGGGTCCTCCAAGCCCCGGAGGGGGCTGCGGCAGGATGAGAGCTGACAATCCCCCCTCTGCTTGGGTTTGCAGAGAGACCGGCATGAAGGGCGCAGTCCTCATCAACGGCATGCCCCGGGACCTGCGCTGCTTCCGGAAGGTGTCCTGCTACATCATGCAGGACGACATGCTCCTGCCACACCTCACCGTGCAGGAGGCCATGATGGTGAGCCTCCTGCTCTGCTGGCTGCGCCCCTCCCCTCCCCTCCGCCCTTCCCCCGCCTCTCCTCTCCCCTCCCCTCCTTTCCCCTCCTTTCCTTCCCATCCCTCTCTTCCTGTCCCCTCCCCTCCCCCCTCTCCTCTCCCCTCTCCCATTTCCTCTCCGGTTCTCTTTTCTCCTCTCCCTGACATTGCTCTGACAGGGCTGCCCCTGGCTGTCTTCCAGGCCCTGCACAGATGTTCCTACTAGCAGAGTTGTAGCCCCAGGCTCCATATTTGAACAAGGACATGGAAAATAAGCCCCAAGACCATGGTTTTTAATGAACCTTATCTGGCGAAGTTCTGGTTGAGTTTCTAAGACTGTAGAGCCCTGAGGGGAGACCATTTCCACCAGCCACGGTCTCCCCACACGCCACGCGGCACCACTCCGCCCGCGGTCCCTGAGTTACTCTGGGGCTCTGGCCAAGCCCCAGTGCTCCCAGCGCCCTGACTCATCGGGGCTGCCAGGTGAGGGTCCGGCGTCAGCGCTAGCTGAGCGCCACCGGGTCCGGGCGTCACGTTCACAGGCCCCGAGCGGTGTGAGCTCGGGGGGCAGATGTGAAACAGAACCTCCACAACTGCCGCCCAGCGCCCAGCCGTGCCGTGAGGCGGAGCTCTGCATTCCAAAAGGCCTCCTCAGGTCACCGCTGCGTGCCTGCCACTTCCTCCTCCGCCTCAGCTCTGAAGCCTCGGTCTCCTCCTCTGAGAGACTGTGCAGGGCTGGCTGCATTGGTGGCTGGGAGGGGGCAGGGGGACCCGCAGACCTCACACTGCGGTGGTTGTAAAAACCCGTCACTGCTCTTCCACTCCCAGCATGCCGTCTGAGGGTAAATCCTGACGAGGATAAAAACCTGCATGGTGTTCAGACGTACCTTTCCTCTTGAGCCTCAGAAGTAGCCTGGTGGTACCCGTACAATGGGCCTCTCTCCACAGACCGTGACCAACTCCTGGGACTCTGGGCTGCTAGGGCCATTTATGAAAAGGCCAGCCTGCAATGGGAGCTTCCAGTTCAAAGGGGATTTGATCTGAGCGCAGAGGCTCATGCTGCTGTGCCAGGCAGAGAGCTGTGAACGTCGTGCCTCACGCCTGTAATCCCAGCTCTTTGAGAGGCAGAGATTGAGAAAGGTTGGAGGCCAACCTGAACAAACCCCATCAAACCAGCAAGCTGGCGCTGTGGCCCGCCTGTAATTCCAGGTGTGCCACAGGAGGCGTAGTGAGGAGGGTCAGGGCGAGAGGCCACCCTGGGAAGAGATTTGAGGTGCTTCCTGGAGAATGAAAGGAAAAAGGGCTAAGGGCATGGCCCAAGTGGGAGAGCACCAGCCTAGGGGTGTGAGGCGCCGCGGCCAGTCCCCGGGATGCCAGAAAGTAAACACCAGGGAGCTGGAACCTCTGTCCTGGGCATTGCTTGATTCTCAAGGCCCCCAGTACCATGGGATCCTTCCTCCCCGGTTCCCCCCCCCCACACCCCCCGTGTCGCTCTGCATTGTGGTCAGCAGAGATAGCACTCCCTTGGTGTCACCCGGAGCTGCCCTGTCCTGTGCTCCTGACGTGGATGAGCTGAGCTCCCGGCTGGGTGGTTGCCGGACAGCGTTTCACGGGAATCCCAGGGATTCTCAGTTCAGCAAAGGGCAGCGGTTAGGGTTTCAGATACGCGATCTGCTCCCCAGCCTGCTGGTGGGCAGCAGCAAGGGAGGGCCTGGCGGGGCTGTCCCCGCTCCCTCCCCAAGGGTGGCGTGTTCTGTATGTAGGGGGACAGCTTGCCTCCCGCACGCTCTGTGCTGGGAGCCTGCTTGCTTGTCTGGCCTCTGCTGGGCTTTCCGGTGGGCACAGAGGACTTAGGACCAGCCTGCTGTGAAGTGCGGGAAATTTGCGTCCAGTACATCCCTCTTTACACCCCCGCGTTGCACACGCGTGTTGGGTTCTCTGCAGGTCATTGATTGGGTGGGACGCGAAGGTTCTTGTGGAAAGAAGCTTCACTTTGATTTCCTGGCCAGCCTCTGAGGCAGGGCATTTCCTGACGCTTTCTGGGAAATGCGTCGACCTTGAACTTGCCACAGCTCTTCCCTTTCCTCACGAGGAATGACTCAGTCGCCAGTAGTTGGTCCCACATCAGCCAGACTGAGACGCAACACTCGGTCACACAGCACACAGCTGGCTCTGCAGAGGTGACGTGGCCTCGCCTCGTCCCAGGCCAGAGACCTCATCTCCACTCTTCTCTGATTCCGGATCTCTCACCTAACCCCTTCAGCTTCCCTGGTTAAGGAGGTGGCAGGATTAACCTTACCAGGGAGCTGTTGAGGAAACTGAGGCTGACAGGGGGCCCAGGACACAGACCCTGGGAGCTGAGCAGGCTCCATGACTCCTTCCCAGAGTTTCAGCCTTCAGGACTAAGACTCTGGTTCTGTACAGTAACGGCATCTCTACAAACAAAACAAGCAGAAACAGCATCCTGGTAGTAGCGCTTGCCAGTTCCTTTGGTGTGCATACCACCTAGGTCCTTCCAAGTTATCAGAGGTTTAACAAGTGGGGCAAGGAGCGCCTCCATCACAGCACAGGCCGCCCAGCAGGCTTAGGGCCCGGGGCCCACGTCGAGTGCCTTTTATGGGCACAGTAGAGAACTCCTGAGATACCAGGGAACATCACAAACACGCACTGCTCTCCTACAAGGCACCTTTACTAGGCCACAGGCAGCGGGAAGGTGAGGCTTCTGAGGGTTTCCTGGAGCCATCAAGTGTCTCAGAAAGCTGCGGGGGGTCTGGGCCCTCGTACAAGGCTCGCCTGAAACAGCCGCCGTCACCGTGTTGTCCTTGCCCCCTGCAGGTGTCTGCTCATCTGAAGCTGCAGGAGAAGGACGAAGGCAGAAGGGAGATGGTAAGTGTGCTGCGGCCGCGGCCAGCCCCCCTCGCCGCCGGCGTCCCCGAGGGTGTGTGGCGGGCCTCATGCGCACGGCTTCTGCTGACCTGGTGTGTGGTGGAGGGCAGCGTCTTGGGCCCACCGTGATGCTTTAGGGTCACCTCGTGGACTCTTAGACCCAGCAGGCAAGGAGCTCAGCGCCCCCCAGGCCGGGGCATGTCCGCTTCAAGGTTGTATCAAGGGCTCTGCCTCCTTCCACTTTTAAAATAGATGGGACAATTTTTCATAATGCATAGACAATGAAGATTGCTAGTCATTGGTTTAAAAATAACCACCCTCTACCCACGTACTTCACAAGAAGAAATTTAGTTCTTCCTTGTTATTAACCAGCTCTTTTTTTAAGAGAGAGAGAGAAAGTAAACGCATTTCCAGCATGCCTGGGACGTCTCCTCCTGTTTACCACTCTTTTTGGTTACTGACGCCTGCAGAGGGCCGAGGGGGTACAGGGCAGGCCGAGGGGGTACAGGGCAGGCTGAGGGGGTACAGGGCAACGGCTACCGTGAAGGCCCCAGAAAGCATCAGAGGGTGGGCAGCTGGTCCAGGTTCACTGGAAGGAAGCTCAGCTTCCTCTCTGCTCCACACAGTGCTCCTGGGCAGGGGCTGGGGGGGGGGGGGAGGGGGATGGGAGGGGGGGGTTGTCCACCTGGTAAGGTCTCACGTATCACAGCCCGCATCTCCCCCCCCTTCCCAGAGCTCCCGTCTGGCCTCTGAGCGGGCTTGGCTGGGGCCTGGCTGGCGGCACGCCGAGGCTGTTGGTGGTTTGGGGTGAGAGGGAGGAGTCTTTCGGTCGCCACCAAACACGGGAAGGAAACACATGGTGATGTTATTCATGTTTCCCCCTTCCTGGATGGGCAAAAGGCTTCATTGATGCTAGGTACATTCAAACTGCCTTGCTAGGGAGCAACAGCAGCAAGCCACCCCGGGCTCCTTCCTCCTGCTTCCCCACGGCGCCCTGAGAGCTTGTGGGGCCCGGCCACCGGGAATGGGAGGAACGACTCCAGTTCTGAGAAGCGAACACCTGTGTGCACGGAATGCGCTTCACGGGGAGCTGAGACTGAAGGGAAGAAAGTGAACACGTGTATGCACACACGCTGTGTGCGTGTACATCTGTCTGTCTTAGGCAGAAGGGCTGGGCGCGCAGCCCTGGCTATAGGCTGAGTTGACTCCAGGCTATAGCCTGGAGTCTGCGGCTTTTCCTGACCTCATGGTATAGACACGCAGACATCACAGACACGGTGCTCGCAGCCCTCTCCGTAGCCTGGCCCAGGAGGGAAGATGAGGGCTCTGAGTGATGCTGGAGTTCCTACTTATATATTTCGTGAAGCGCGCTCGGTCCGGTCTGGGTCGTTATGAGAACAGATCCAGAGCCGCACAGAGGACCGCACGGCCGGCCACGTGGAGCAGACGCCATCTGCCAGCCAGGGAGCGGCTCGGGGCCAGCCCTGCCACACTCTGTTCTTAGACTCCAGCCACACTGAGACAGTCGTGTCCCGTGTTCAAAGCCCCAGCTTGCAGCCCTCACGGGGGACGTGGGCCCCGAACGGACACCACAGAGGCCTTGGCTGCCTACGCAACGGCGGGGCTAAGGGAACTGTCAGGCGTGGTGTGCCGGAACCGGCAGGATGGTGATCCCGCACGAGAATGACCCTGCCTCTCTGAGATCAGCAGAGATCCCCAGCACGAGGCCCCAGGACTGCCAAAAAGTGGGTCCCACAAGTGCCCAGAGGACTGTGGTGACCCAGAGGTGCCTCCCACGCTCGGCTATTCTCACCTTCCAACCTCCCAGGCTCCACGGGGCCGAGGCGCAAGCTGGTGTCTGTGAGGCCCGCGCCCACCAGGGCCCTGCGAACACGCAGCAGCTACAAACACTCCCTGGGGCTGCTTCCAAAATGGCCACTGACTCCTGACTCTCCAGAGCGGGGCAGCTGGGAGAGGGAATTCTGTTCATCAAAGGCCCAACTTCGGAGCTGACCCTCCCCTCACAAGGGGGCTGGGGGGTCTGGCAGGCCAGAGGGGAGGAGCCAAGTCCCTGCGCATGCTTTCCACCCTGCCCTGCCCCTGTCCACTGGAAAACCAGACCTCTGCCCTCTGGGCATTGAGCTTTCGTCCTCTGCTCTCGGGACATTGAGCTTCTGTCTGCAGCTCCGGACAGGAGGCCAGTTCCCGTTGCCTCTCTATAGTCTGCCGACCGCGTCTTTGCAGTCTAGTTCTGGGACTGGTGTGAGTTGTGGGAAGGAAACTGGGAACCATCTCCCCGCACATGTGCTCCACGGCGGCCTTCCCCAGTGGAGCCGAGGGAGTCCCTCACACAGCACTGGGGTAGGTGAGCGAGCAGAGACACATGGCAGACGCCGCCCTGGCCACCACAGCTCCATCTGTGCCTCTGTCCCCCTCAGAGTTCAGCTTTACTCTGGGTGACTGGCCACGGCCTCTGGGAGAGTCCAGAGACCTGCTCTGCCTGGTGGAGTGGTAGGTGGCTTCTTGTTGGGGATCGGAAGGGACTCTGGGAGAAGCCATGGCCAGGCCACAGGCAGAGAGGACTCCAGGACTGCGTGGCTGAGGATACTGTGCCAAGGGCCCTTGAGCCCTTGTCAGCTGGCTGAGAGGCCCTTCTAACTAGATGCCCATTGAGCTGGGCGGCACAATGAGACAGGTCTGCAGGGCCATGGCAGTCACGGTGGGCTGCCCCATATACTGCCTCACCGAGGCCCCGCGTGCATGGGCCTCTATTCCCTGGCCAGGCCTAGCTTCCACCTTCCTCTCCCTGCCCCTCAGGAACCCATAACAGGATTATTTCAGGACACAGCGGCTGGTTCTTTACCCTGACTCATTTCCCACCAGCCCCTCGGTGCCCAGGTAGAAGTGGTTTATAGTTTATGGAAGCACAATGGAGTGGAATGTTCTAGCAGGTAGTGGAATGTGTTGTTCATGGCCTGCTTTGTTTCCCAGAAAAGTCACCTCAGCCCTGGGGAGCCCTTCAATGAGGCCGCTTCCTCAGGAGGAGGTCACCTTGGGCCAGTCTGTGGACATGCGTGCGTGCGTGTGTGTGTGTGTGTGTGTGTGTGTGTGTGTGTGTGTGTGTGTGTGTGTGTGTACATATAGCTTATTCTCTGTGCCTGTTTTTAAAACAAAACCAGCGTGCGCAGCATCACTTCTGAGACATCCCCGGAAGCTCCAGGCTGGGCGTGGCAGGGGCTGCAGGCAGGAAGAAGGCGGCCACCAACCTTGGCAACTGTGACCTGTTTCCAGTTTCCCCTCCTTGAGGATGGATGGGAAAAGGAGGTGCGCCGTGCAGATGGAATTTCCCCACAGTGAATTCAGTCATGCTGCAGTACTAGCCGACTGTTCTGGAAGGCCCCGGAACCTCCACATGTGGGGAAAGCCCGTAGATAACTGTGTGCAAAGAGGAACGGCCAGGAACTCTTCTGATCACGGTCTTGCCATTCTGAAGCTCTTTGGGGGCTGGTCTCCCCCAGAAGCAAGGTGCTCCAGAGCGGAAGAGGGAGGAGGCTGAGGAGATCAGCTGGAGAGGCGGAGCTGGACTGGAGCTCAAGCCTCTGCCTCCTCACATGCCGGACTGTCCAGCCGCGCTGCCATGGTTCTTTCTGTCCCCAGCGATGCGCTTTGTACAGACCATGCATCAATAATTCAAAAGTTCAGAGTGGAAATTTTCTTCCTCGTGGAGGCCACATCCTCCTGGATGGCCTCATCTCCCTGGAGAAGCTGCTGGCCTGAGTCCCCCTTGCTGTGGCCCCCTGGGGCTCTCCACCAGGGGAGCTCCCTGGGGCTCCCCAGCCAGGGGTGGGATGAATCCTGCAGGGAGTACCGAGGTGGTGGCTCCCTTCCCGGGGGATCTTCCCTGGGGGCAGAAGCTGACCCTGCCTCTAACTCCTGAGAAGACACTGAGCTAGACCTGGCCACAGCAGTGTCCCCAAACCTGCTGGCCACCTGTACCTGAGTAGACACGAGGCCACCATCCCAGCTGAGGGGGAGGATTGTGTGCTAGTGGCCTGTTTGTGGACGCCAGTGGACTAGTGCTAGTGGCCTGTTTGTGGACGCCAGTGGACTAGTGCTAGTGGCCTGTTTGTGGACGCCAGTGGACTAGTGCTAGTGGCCTGTTTGTGGACGCCAGTGGACTAGTGCTAGTGGCCTGTTCTGTTTGTGTGTCATCACTCAGCGCTCTTCCCAGGGACCCCGGGGCCTGGGCCTTGCGTCAGACCACAGGTCTGTTTACCGCCCTGCACACTTCCCTGTGTATGTGGACAGAGCCCCGCGAGTGCAACCGGAGGCTTCACAGGAAGTGCAGCGGCATGTGATGGTGACAATAGCTGGTGATCACACACTCCTGGCATGCATGTGTTACATCAGCCTCCTCGCGATTATTCTGTTTAATGACCAAGCGGCCCTTTGTGCCGGCCAGAAATTCCATCATCTACTTCTGTGTCCATTAGTCCATCTGTCGATCAAATACTGGACACCTCTGTAGAAGGCACTAGGCTAGAGGCCGAGTGAGGGACTCTAGCCCCTGAGTTTGACTCCCATGCTGCTGTTCTCACGGGACTCAGAACCACGATGTTGGAGCAGTGCCCATGCTTGCATGGACCAACCTACCCAGATCTGTAGCCCCGTGTGGCCGGAGATGCGTGTCCAGCCGGACTTGCATGCAGGCCCTGGTAGCAACGGGGTTAGGAGGGATGGTGGCTAACGGGCACTCTTGTTTTCCTGTTCCCTAGGTGAAGGAGATCCTGACAGCCCTGGGCTTGCTGTCCTGTGCCAACACACGCACCGGGAGCCTGTCTGGTGGCCAGCGGAAACGCCTGGCCATTGCCCTGGAGCTGGTCAACAACCCCCCAGTCATGTTCTTTGATGAGCCCACCAGGTGAGCCAGGATTGTCGGCTGAGGCTGGGGAGGGCTCGCTCAGAGGTCCTCACTGGTGGTCCCGGAGAGGAGGTGCAAATGTCCCATATTCCTGAGATTGCAAGGCAGAGAGACTGGCTTACACCTCTCTTCCCCAGACTCACAGACACCTGTACCCCGGCTGCGGGGTGCACGATGTCTTTCCTCTCAGCCCCCATCTCTCCCAGGATGCCCCACTAGCTAGCTCCCTGAGACACGGCTACCCTGAAGGCCAGGGAAGCAGTGCAGAGTGGGCAGCACCTCTGTTGCATGTGTCAAGGTATTCTAGAGCAGGGAATGGGACCAGTCATGACAGTGGCCTCTTGCAGGCTGGCTGCCTGGGAGGAGTGAGAGGGAGGGGCTGCCTGGCTCCTCATGTCTGTGACTGCGCAGCGCAGGGACAGGAGCAGGCGTAGGGCTGCAGTGCCAAGGAGAGAGAGGAGAGGAGAGGTCACAGGGCTGCCAGGATACTGGCAACTTCCCCCAGCAGTCCTCAGGACACCTCATCCGGGGAAATGCACCGGTAGATTTGGTAACTAACCCTCATCGAGTGGTCCTGCTTTCGGGTACCCTCGCTGGGGCCAGTAGCCCATCACTCACCCCCAAATGGGGAGAGGATGGGCTCCATGCCAGACCACTGGGCCTCTCTGGGAGGCCTTTGGGAGGCCCGGCTGCCCGCCCGGGCGGCTCTGGAGCACCGCCGGCAGGGCCTGTCCTGTGAGGAGAGCCAGCAGCATGCGCACCGAGTTCACCCAGGACCTGGGCCCTGCAGCCTACATAGGCTCATGGTGTTCTTGATTTACAGCGGCCTGGACAGCGCCTCCTGCTTCCAGGTAGTGTCCCTGATGAAAGGCCTGGCCCAGGGGGGGCGGTCCATCGTGTGCACCATCCACCAGCCCAGTGCCAAGCTCTTTGAGCTCTTTGACCAGGTATGTGGGCTCTAAACCTCTCCCAACCCCTCTCTGGGATCCCCACCCTAGATCCTCACCAAGACCCCCACCCCAGACTCTCCAATCCAGACTCCGTACCCTAGACCCCCAGCAGGCTGGCGCTAGCTACTCATGCCTTCTTCTAGACGCTGGGGTGTCGGCTGGCCGAGCGACTGACCGAATGATGGGTGGTTTGGGAGTTCCTGTTCCCTTGCACGAGAAGGTTGGGGTTGATGTCTTTTTTTTCCCCCCTTCCTTCTCCCAGCTGTACGTCCTAAGTCAAGGACAGTGTGTATACCGCGGGAAGGTCTCGAACCTTGTGCCATATTTGAGGGACTTAGGACTCAACTGCCCCACCTACCACAACCCGGCCGACTTTGGTGAGTAGACAGCTTTCCCACTCAGGTGGGCGCCGGCACGCTGCTCCACGACTCCATATTCTCTGTTACGCCAAGGCACGGCGCCTGGGGTACTGGAAGCCAGAGAGAGGGAGAGAGGGAGAGAGAGGGAGGGAAAGAGAGAGAGAGAGAGAAAGAGAGAAAGAGAAACCCTCTGAAGGTCAGAGGTGAGGGAGAGCTCCCCCTAGAGGGCAAACGAGCCTACTGAAAAGCCACAGAAGGTCCTGGAATTTAGAGCTGCGGGAGAGAATGACAGGGGCTGCAGAAGCGGGGACAGGAGGTGAGAACGGGAGAAAGGACAGAGAAAAACAAAGGCAGCGCCCAAGAGGCAGGGCGGTCCTGGAGAGATGAGGGCCTCTGCCCCAGCGAGTCTGCAGGCCGGGCAGCGGCTTGGATTTGAGGGGTGCGGGCTGTGGTCCCGAGCCGTAGGTTTCTCTGGGTGCTGCTATGTGGTAGGCAGACCATCCTCCCCTTGGGTCCTTGGGGCCACTTCCACACCTGTCACGTGTCACGTGCTCTGAGTCCTTTAGAGAGGAACCTGCTTCCTCCCCCCCTCACGTCCCGGGTCCGTGGGGTGCCATCCGCAGCAGGCGCGCAGCCAGGGCCGGGCGAGAGCCTTGGCAGCCAGGCGCATGAGCTCATCGCTTCTCAGCGTGATCCGTGTGTCTGCTCCCCCACGCGGGGACGGGCTTCGCTGAGGGTTTGGCTGATTAATGGCTGGAATCCAGCCTCGCAGTCATCTGCATTGGGGTATAAGTCACTTAGCAAGCATTCCCCGCCGGAGCGATGGTGGCTCCGGCTTCCCAGGCGCCCTGTCCGACCCTGCGTTCCGTGTCCTCCGCAGTCATGGAGGTGGCCTCTGGGGAGTATGGCGACCAGAACAGCCGCCTGGTGAGAGCCGTGCGGGAGGGCATGTGCGACTCTGACTACAAGAGAGACCTCGGGGGCGATGCCGAGGTGAACCCTTTCCTCTGGCACCGGTCCTCTGAAGAGGTAAAGCAGACAAAACGATTGAAGGGGTTGAGAAAGGTAATGAGAATCTCCCAGCCCCCGTGAGCCACGTGCGCTCTCTCCTGGCCGCACGCTGGCTCTGTCCGGCCGGTCGGCCGGCGGCCGGCCGGAGCCTCACCGCGCCCTTCTTGGTGTGTGCACAGGACTCCGCCTCCATGGAGGGCTGCCACAGCTTCTCGGCCAGCTGCCTCACCCAGTTCTGCATCCTCTTCAAAAGAACCTTCCTCAGCATCATGCGGGACTCGGTAAGGGGAGTCCTCGTGTCCCACAAGGCCCTTCTCTCCTCTGCTCTTCCCGAGCAGACTCTCCTCTGTTTGCACGAGTCAGTGGTTACTGCTAAGCTGCCGTAACAAGTGGTCCCAAGATGTCAGCGTTCACGGTAGAGTCCACGCAGCCAGTGTGGATCTTGCTTGTGCTGGGGGTGGGCCCAGATGCTAGAGCAACCCCTGTTTTTCTACCACATGGCAAAGCAAAAGGCAAGAGGAAGAGGTGACACATAGCCCAAAGGCAGCAAACGGTCACATGCATTCACGTGGCATTGGCCAAAGCAGGCCAGGTGCGGTCAGGGGAGAGGAGGCCTTTCTGCTTCGGAAGAGCATAGCCAGGTGCAGAGGGGGCCAGGCCACCGCTGTGTGGACAGAGGCGGTGGCTGAGGGGCCCTGGTCACAGCGGTGGACGCTCCAGCTGCCTGCCCGGGGGGAGGCTGTGTGGGGCCTCGGGGACCCACACTGGGAGAGTCACAGCTCAGGACAGGAGGCTCATAGTCACCCAGGCTGGGCTCTGCAGCGCAGGCCCCCTTAGATCAGTCTCCACCATGCCTGAGCGCCCTGCTGCAGCGCTTAGATCCCACCTCCCAGCATCCCTCGCTTCTCTCTGGATAAACATGCCCCTCGTCTGTCAGTTTTGAAGATCAGTGTAACCAAGGCTAGTGATTGCTTGGGTTTTAACAACAGCAAACGTATACTCTGTGTGTGTGTGTGTGTGTGCGCGCGCGCGCGCACATGCGTGGCGGGGGGGAGGGGGTGGATGCAGGCTGCGGCTTGTTTCTTAGGGGAAGGAGACAGTGGACTGAGAGCCACCACAATGGGAATCAGAGTCCGAGGCTTGCTGAGGCCCTGGCCTCATTCCCTCCCTTCCCTGAGCACTGGGTAAGGAGCCCCTCTGCCCCCAGGTCCTGACGCACCTGCGCATCACCTCACACATCGGCATCGGCCTGCTCATTGGCCTGCTCTACTTGGGAATCGGGAATGAAGCCAAGAAAGTCTTGAGCAACTCCGGCTTTCTTTTCTTCTCCATGTTGTTCCTCATGTTTGCCGCCCTCATGCCCACCGTTCTGACCTGTGAGTGGCGGGCCCAGCCCTGCCCTGTTTGCTGGGATTCCCACTCAATCACCGGGGCTGACAAGAGTGTTCTGAGCCCTCCCTTCCTCCCTTCCTCCTTTCCTTCCCTCCTACCTTTCTTGCCTCTCTCACTCTTTCTTCCTTCCCTCCCTCCCATTTTCATCCAGCCAGCCTCCAATCGCAGGCCTCCTACCTGTGCCTCCCATGTAGCTAGGGTTTACAGGCTTGCACCAATATGCCCAACTCTGGCATTAGATTTTCCAAATTCCATCTTAGGTGCTGACAAAGAGGTTTTATGACATAGGATATGAAAGTGCCATGTTTAAGCCCCGGGATGGACTCTCTCCTGAGGCAGGGGGGCTAGCTGCATACAGGAGTCCATCACGTGTCCCTCAGCTGCTGGGGTGGCCCTCGCTGGCCCTGGGCACTGCCCAGCTCTTCCACATGGGCTTCCATGCAGCTCAGGTGTGTGCAGAGCCAACCCTGGGCCCCGGGGCTGCTGGATTGAAGCTGCTGCCCTGTAGGACTCTGGCATGAACACCTCCTCCAAGACCCTGCTGCCCGGGCTGGTGGCAGAGCTGGGGATCCCAGCGGGACCAGAACTGGCCGTGGGGGTGGGGGAGCATGCTTGTGCTCCACCTGCGTTCTCCTCGTGGCCTGTAGAAGCAGCCAGCCATTTCCCCAGCCAGCGGATCCCTCTTCGTAAACCAAACCAAACCAAACCCCCGCTGGTGGACAGCACACAGCTCAGCCCCGGGCCACCTGTGAGAGTGTTGGGCTTTCTAGCAGTGCCCACCTGACATTTCTTTTCTTCCTCTATGTCTTCCCCCACTTTCTGGGTCCCAGTCCCCCTGGAGATGGGCGTCTTCCTGCGGGAACACCTGAATTACTGGTACAGCCTGAAGGCCTACTACCTAGCCAAGACCATGGCCGATGTCCCCTTCCAGGTGCGTGAGCCAGCGACTCTGTAGAGAGCCAGTGGTGCCCTGCCAGGCGGGCGGCGGCCTGTCCCTGACAGGACGGGGGGGGAGGTAGGGAGGAGGGTGGCATGCCTGCCCCGGGCTGCTGCTGGGCTCCGGGTGAAGGGCAGGCGGCCGGGCCTGAGCGGTTTCCAGCATGACGGGGGCTCTGATCTGCAGATCATGTTCCCGGTGGCTTACTGCAGCATCGTGTACTGGATGACGTCACAGCCGTCTGACGCCGTGCGCTTCGTCCTGTTCGCCGCACTGGGCACCATGACGTCGCTGGTGGCCCAGTCCCTGGGGCTGCTGATTGGGGCTGCCTCCACGTCGCTGCAGGTGCCAGCCAGGAAGCCGTGGGCCGGGCTCCCCTGCTGGGGGGAGTGGGGGGCTGGCCCTGGCTGCTCCCCCGGGGCACAGCCCCACCCTACCCCACCGCCCTTCTCCTTAGCTCTGCCTGAGTCTGCCAGGCAGCCCAGCCTGGCCCGCTTCAGGGAGGAGGGGCGCTGTCCTGTTCAGGACTGCTGACCTCACAGCAGGGGGCGGGGGTACGGGGGGTGTTTTGAGCATCTTGTGGCAGGAACGCTGTTTTACAAGAGAGGATCAGAGAGGCAAGGCAATTTCTCAGGGTCCCCCAGCCCACGTGTGTGGGGTGCTGCTTCTGGAGGTCCCTCCCAGCCCCACACAGTGCCCTTGCTCCCACGCACCCCCAGCCTCCCCTCCTCCTCCGCTTCCTCCCCCCCCTCCACCTCCTCCCCTTCCTTCTCCTCCTCCTCCTCCTCCTCCCCCTCCTCCTCCTTCTCCTCCTCCCCCTCCTCCTCCCCCTCCTCCTCCTTCTCTTCCTCCTCCTCCTCCTCCTCCTCCCCCTCCTCCTTTCTTCCTCCTCCTCCTCCCCCTCCTCCTCTTCCTCCTCCTCCTCCTCCTCCTCCTCCTCCTCCTCCTCCTCCTCCTCCTCCTCCTCCTCCTCCTCCTCCTCCTCCTCCTCCTCCTCCTCTTCCAGAAGCCTGCTCTACCCCATCCCAACCTTCAGCCCTACAGCCTCTGCAGCTGGTTTCCCTCTGCCATGCCCAGGGCCACTCAGCCTGACCTCACCCCCCCCCCAAGAACATGGTTCCTCCGTGACCCCCAAATGTGAGGGCTCCCCAGGTCCCATGCTGGGCACCATGAGTGTCTGGGTTCATCTCTGGAGCCCACTAGTGGCCAGTAAGGGCCTGGGGTCTGCCACAGGGGTAAAGAGGGTGCTCCAAAGGAGTTTCTGGAACTCACCTGCCCGCAGTCCTCACCTCTCTCCACACCCCGGTCCCGACAGCTGGTCTGGAGCCCACAGTGCCAGCCACCTTGTGACGCGTCAGACCTTCCCCTCCTCTGAGCCCACTGTGCTGCTCCCGCACGAGGTGCAGCCCTGGGTCCCTCACAGCCCCTCGGGTGCTTGACCTTCCCACTGCCCCCAGCCCGTCCTCCCTCCTTCCCGCCCTTCTCTCCCTCCCTCCTTCCTCTCCCTATCCCTCTCTCTTCCGGGAGGATGAAGCTTTTGGGTTCTATGCTTCACCTGTTCCCAGCACAGAGCCTGGCCCAGCCTGCTACCTCAGAGGCTGCTGGTATGGGAACTGGTGGCTCCTTCTGCCTGGTACACACATACACACACACACACACACACACACACACACACACACACACACAGCCTCCCCGAGGACCCAGGGCAGGGCTCCACCAGATGCTGGATTCCAGACACAGGTGCTCCATGCTGTCAGAAGTGGCTGAGCCCAGGGTCTGCACCACCTCCCTCACCCAGACCCATCCCAGATGCTGCCGGAGGAGCGTCGCTGCATACCATACATACACACACACACACAGAGAAAACATACTGCCTCTGTGCACAACACACACCATACACACGCCACCCACATGTATTATACACACCACACAGTACATGCGATCCAGACATCACATACATACACAGCACGTCACACACGTGTGCATTGAAGACACAGGTACCATACACTATGCGCTGTATACACATCACAGACATACACACAAGCAGCCATACTGAGCCACCCACATAGGACATGCACAACACGGTGCACACATTACACAGCACTGCACAATGCACAATACCACACACAGGCCCCTCCCCTCACTGCTGCAGCCACAGTCACTGGTGGTGATTCGTTCCCAGGTCCTCTGGGCCTCCTGCTCGGGCGGTGTCCACACCAGCTGCTAGGCCGGGCCGCAGGCAGGAGGTGCCCACTGAGGCCGGCGCCCGTGGAGGGCGCTGTGGGGAGACCACAGGTGGCTGGAGGAGGGGTCTGGAGGCCTGCCGGCCGTCCTGGCACCTGGCAGCAGCACTGGGGTCCCTTGGGGCCTGGCTCCAGCTGACGACCCCGCAGGGTCCCCGGGTGGACGTGGTGGGCTCCCTTGTGAGTTCAGTGTGTCTGCCCTGCTCCAGGTGGCGACATTTGTGGGTCCTGTGACAGCCATCCCCGTCCTGCTCTTCTCGGGCTTCTTCGTCAGCTTTGACACCATCCCAACCTACTTGCAGTGGATGTCCTACATCTCCTACGTCAGGTAGCATGCGGGAGGGGGAGGTGGGGGGGGGGGGTCCTACATCTACGTCAGGTAGCAAGCGGGAGGGGGAGGGGGTTCCTACATCTACGTCAGGTAGCAAGTGGGAGGTGGGGGGGGGGGTCCTACATCTCCCACGACAGGTGGGAAGGAGGTTGTGGTGGCTCAGGAACAGGGCTGACACACAAGACCGCTGTAGGGAACAGGTATTCACAGAAGCCAGGTCTTAGCTATCTTCCAAGCGTGGCGCTGACCCTGATGGTAGCAATCCTGCGTGTTTTTCCTATTTTAGTGTGACCTGCCCTCACCCACACACACTTTTGAGTCCCACCTAAAGCCATAGTGTACCCTCACATTCTGGGTGTTTGAGAGCTGCCTTGGTGGTGGTGGTTGTGTGTGTGTGTGTGTGTGTGTGTGCGTGTGTCCATAGTTTATGTGAAGAGCACTTTGCACAAGCCCTGGTTGCAAAACCAGTGGAGCGCAGGTCTTTTGAAAGCATAGTTTCATGGCTGTTATCAAGGTGTTGTGGTTGGTGAGTCCATGTCTTTTTGGACAATGGCACCGCCTTCCCTGCTTTCTCCCAGTCCCCTCCCATTCCTGCCTACAAGTCACTTACACAGGCCATTTTCCACACAATGCATGCTGAGCAGCCTGACTGCATTTGCTCACCCTTCCCCCCTCCCTTTCTGTACCCACTTTTTTGCCCCCCCTTCAAAGGGAAAAATACCAAAGCAAAAACAAACTTCACCACCACCACCAATACAGACAACAAACCACCACCACCACCAATACAGACAACAAACCACCACCACCACCAATACAGAAAAATGCTGCCATTTCCTGGAATTTGTTTGGATACGTAGCATTTTAAATGTAACAGGTCGTCCTTGAAACATCCGGGATCTGCCAAGTGGCAGCTGAGGCCCAGCCCTAGTGTCTTCCCTGGGCTGAGCGCCCCTGAACCCTGTGCCTAGCCCCCTGGCGGGCAGTGCCCATCTCCAGAGCTTTACCCACCACCTTTGTCCCAAGCCTCAGCCATTCCACGTGACACATAGTCTTCACAAGTGCTACTTTTCTAGAATGTCAGTTCAGACCCAAGTGTATTGTTCAGGAAAATAAGATCCACATAAAGTCCTTTGTACCAAGTTTCAACAATTGGACTGCTGGCCACTGACAGGTGAAAATCAGTGCTTTTGTTCTGCCCAGGCCAGGCTGAGGCCAGGCAGGGGAGAGGGGGTGCGGGGCTGTTGGATCACCGTTGCGCACAAAGCAGCCCGGCCCGAAGAGACCGCATTCCCTCTGAATGAACACCTTCGGGTGGGGCTTTTGCTGGGGGCTTCCAGGGAAGGCGTCCTGTATCGGGGAGCTGGTGAGGACTTGGGGAGCACTGGGGCTGGGGGGCCAGCTCGGAGCCAGCGGACAGCGGCACGGTGGGCTTCCGCGATGGCTGTGAGCCGGTGAGTTCCTCCCCTCATGCCCGTGCTCACCTGCTCAGGTATGGCTTTGAGGGCGTCATCCTGTCCATCTACGGCCTGGACCGGGAAGACCTGCACTGTGACATCGATGACACGTGCCACTTCCAGAAGTCGGAGGCCATTCTGCGGGAGCTGGACGTGGAGAATGCCAAGCTCTACCTGGACTTCATCGTGCTGGGCATCTTCTTCATCTCCTTGCGCCTCATTGCCTACTTTGTTCTGAGGTACAAAATCCGGGCGGAGAGGTAAAGCACGCCGATGCCACCAGGAGGCAAACCAGACACTGCGGCCATGGGACTGCTGAGCGGCGGCGGCGTGCGCCGCGCCGGGGGACTCAGAGACCATCCACCCAGCCTGGAAGCCATGCGGCGTGGTGGCGACCAGGGCTCATTGCTCTGCCCGACCGGGCTGAGTCTTCTCTCCTTTACCTTTTCTAGCTTGAACTAGGAAGATGTAGGAAGGTTGGGATTTTTGTTCTGTTCTGTTTTGTTTTGTTTTTACGTGCAGAATTCAGAAGACTGCCCCTGGGGCAGGACTTCATACTGCAACACCGCTGGTGACAAGAGGCTTCCTTGGAAAGTCTCTCCTGGCGCCCAGGCCTCCGCAGTCAGTCCCGCGTGGATGGAGGGCCGTGGGCTGCTCCCGGGAGCTCGCGGGGAGGGAGGGCCGGTCCTGGAGTAGATGTGACCGTGTAGAGACGCCTTCCAGTGACTTTGCTTCTCGTGATTTCTTCTCAATTTCACCTCTTTTCTGAGGAAGTCACTTTCTGAGCCAAAGTCGATAAATTACACTTGTTTTTAAAAAGTTCTATCTTTTTAGTAATTGTTGAGGAGTAATTCAGGGTAAATAACACTTCGCTTAAAGCTAGACGGGATTTGACCTAGCCACAGGGTGGCACGCACTTACAGGCAGCACTTGTGCATGGTTGGTGCCGGCTCCGGGTGGAGAGGTAGACGCCATCACGCGAGCCATGCTCAGATGGAGTCGATTGAGAGTCTTAAGAGGATATTGGCCAACTCGTTCAGGAACTTTGCTTTCTCATGTGCTTCTTTAGTTATGCAAAATCGCCCCCTTCTTCCTAGCTTTCTGACCACCTTCCTTTTGCTCAGAATGTGCAGGAGATCAGCCCCGGTGACTTAGGGGACCATTAACCCTCCATTCTGTCACATCAACTACCTCCACTGAGCCTGTGTCTGAGCGCTGGGCCACGGGGTGGCCCGGGCAGCGTGAGCCGCAGTGGCCGGGAGGCGGGCAGGCTGGTGGAGATCACCTTTAGGAAAATGCTGCCATCTCCTGCCACAACACCGTTGTCCCAGAGTCGAGGTCTCTGGTGACAGAATGCATTTGTTTGTGAGCAGATCAGTTGACCTCTCTGAGTCTCAGCACTGGGTCACATTCAAGGTGGTTCTAGCTTGGAGGTGTCCTTCTGGGAGTGTTTGGCTGTGTCCTGAGCAAGGGAAAGCTCTGCATTTTCCTTCCACGTGGACTTGGTTTGAAAATGCTCAGAGCTTCTTTTTTATTTTGTTCATTTTCAGATTTTTTTTTTTAGTAATCACAATTGAAATGCACATTACAGAGTCATGCCAAGTTCACACACTCTCTACAAACATGGGGTTGGCCTTCTAGCTTCAGTTTTAACCAGGGACAAACTTAGCCTTTATAAAACAGTCGGCGCAGAGGCGGGCTGTGCGGCTGTGAGCTAGGGAGCTGGGAGGAGAACATGGCGGTGACCCCACCTCGGGGCCCCATGCGTGGGCCCACACGGAACCGTCCACGTGTCCAGGCCCGGGCTGGCAGCTTTGGTCATGGCTCTGATCAGGGCGGACTTGTAAGCCAGGATCTACTAGGACTATGCTGTGCAGGCCACCATCCCTACTCCAAAGATGGCTTCCCTGGCCCCTGAGAGCGAGGGCTGCTTCTCAGCCTTTTCAGAAAAACCTAGAGATGCTTCTAGGTGTTAACTCTGGTGTCTGAGGGTGCCTGGTCCTCAGGAGCTCTGTCCTCGGGCCTTCATGCTTCCATGGGTCCCGTTTCTACTCCAGATGCAGTGTAGTTACCCTTGCACAGACAAGAATGTGATCAGAGGGGCGGAGCCTGAAGGCCGCTGGCAGACAAGGTGACCCAGGGCTGTTTTTAAAGCATGCTGACCAAAGCAGATTGGGGTGGGGGCTGGAGGTTCCCCCCATTCGCCCCCCGTGGGGCAGTGTTGCTCGCCGGCTCTGGTGGGCTAGAGAAGGGCCGGGGCTCTGCTGGGGGAGCTGCGTCCCGGCCCCGCTCCCCGCATCGCACGCACGGGTGCCCGCCGCATCTCCCCAGGCAGGGTGGATGGGACGCCGGTGTCGGCACCTCTGCGTCCGTCATTCCCTCTACTTTCTAGTTTTCGGAGTTGTTAAAATGCCTTACTCAGTGCCCCAAGGGAGCAATCCTCGCTTGCTGCTTTTTCCCAACCTGGGGTCCAACCCCAAACCAACCTTCAAACCCTCCCAGTTCCTCCTAGGGAACTTCCTATTGTGAGGCTCTCCACCCACAGGAGGGATTCAGCCTTGGTGGAGGCTGCATGGTCTCCAGGGTGGTTGGCACAGGCGCGTGGAGATCTCCAAATGCGGCTACGCGGCAGGAGAGAGCTCGACGCTCCGGGCTGCCCCTCGGCCTGCACCCAAGGCTCTGACTGCCTCTCCTTCTACTCCCCTTCAAGTCCATGGGGGAATTGAGTGGCCAGTGTCCCTCGGGGAGGGGGCAGTCCAGGACAGGGATGGCCAGTGAACACTGCTTTTGTCCCCTTGAGTGGCAATCAGGACCAGGGAATGGAACATAAAGCTTTGAGGGGAAAGGTCACCCCAGAAACCTGGAGCCTCCTTCGGAGCAGAAGCTGCCTCTGGGTGTCTCCAAAGGAAGGAAAAAACCCTACAGGATTCAGCACCTTGTGCATAGTTCCTTGTGGAAGGTTCCAGATGCTGTGCTAGATACCCTACAGGCTCCTCTGTTCATTTACCTGCTCACCAGACCTCCACTGGCCCACCCAAGCCTGGCTCCCGGCCCATGCTCAGCCTTCGCGCCCTGCATCATGGATGGACATGTGGCTCCGGTGGCAGGGCCCCACAGCCCACCAGGGGCCCCGAGCCGGGGAAGGGCACAGGGGACCCCATGCCAAGCTCCACTGCAGTCCCTGAACTTTGGCTTGGCTGAGCTGCCAGTGTCCATCACACACACACACGTTCTAGAAAATTCTTTGGCAGGTGTGGAATGCAACGCAAGTTTAGCAGCTGTCCCGTTCCTTTCTCTGCCACCAGACACGGAGGGATGAGGAGGTGTCCCAGCCTGCCCCCAGCTCCTCAGCGCCTGTGCTGGGTGTCGCTGGCGGGCCTGGTGGCCCAGGGCTGGACTCACCCCTGTGTCAGTGGCTGGTGTGAGCTCCCGGGGACTCTGGTAGGGCCGCGTGGCTCCGGGGGGAGCGCGCGTCTGTGCGTGAGTGATCTCTATCCACACATCTGTCCTCGTGGGCATAAGGCCGCTCTGGGCATGCGTGCTCATGGTGTACTCATCTCAGAAGCATACCAGCGTCAACCTTCATTGTCCTTCTCTCCAAGAAGGACAGAGAATGTTCTTTCATTTTGTGCCTGTGGTGCAGACCGTAGAAGTTGGGATGGGCGCCTTTTGTCAAATGCCAGCTGAAGTAGAACGTGACCGACGTAAGACAGTACCCAGCGGGGCAGAGGGGGTGCAGAGTGCGTATTCAAAGCTAGAGACTTTTAAGAAATAAAGACTGCTAATAAAGTATTTTGTATACACCTTTTCCCCTGTGCTGCAAGGATTGGCTTCCGTTTCGCTGTGTTGGCTACATTTGAAAGACAGACATGGTCCTCCACTGGGGAGTGTTCTGTTCCCCACGTGGCCTGGCTCCCGCCTCGTCTCCAGGCCTCGCGGGCTGTGTGTTCTGCTGTCTTCGGGCTGGGTCAGCCCCGTTCACCCACACTCCACCCATAGCGGCCCCCAGGCTCCCAGGCAGCTCCTGCTCGGCCCTGTCCAGCACCGCCGCGGGAGGCCTGGGCTCTGGGTGGCAGCAGACCTGGACAGAGTGACGTCAGGTGCTGCTCCAGCGCCAGGCTTCCACCAGGCAGCACACCAGCCACGCTCACTTTTGGAGGGCCAGGCTTTCTCGCTGGGCTCTGTCCCTACCTTCCCTACCTTGGGGACAGAGGGCTGCTGGGCCTGGTCACAGAAGGCACAGACCAGCAGTCCCTCCAGTCCTGTGGCAGGGAATGGATGGCAGGCAGGCTGGTACCATGAACAGGTGCCCTGCGCGTGGGCATCCGTTCACTGTGCTGTGTCGCCCCCCCTGCCCCGCCTCTCTAGACCGCCTGTCCCCGTTAGCCACACCTCGGGTCCCAGAAGCAGGGATCAATAGTGCTCCACCCCTCACTGGAGTCCTGGGTCTCCAGGAGCCGCCTGAACCTACAGTGAGAAAGTTTAATGAACAAATTAGGCACAGCAGAGAACAACGACAATTAACAATGCGGGTCGACAGTAACAATACGATAAAGAGTCCAGGGAACGTCTGCTATTTTCAGGTCTCAGGGCATCACAATGAGATTTACTCTGCTAGGCAGCAGAGTCTTCGGGCTCCTCTTGCCACGTAAGACTAAATCTTCCGTGTCCTTTCCCTAATCATGTCCTTCTTGGAGCAGACGGGCTTTTGCCTTCACCCCTGTTGTCTCTGTGCATGCACATCTGCAACCCGCCCGGCCCGGAAGCCTGCTCTGTCCAAGGGGTGTGTGAATGGTTCTGGGAGCACAGGCCGGGGTCCGGGTGGACAGGAGGACTTGCTGGCCCCAGAACAGGCCCCAGACATCCGGAGGAGACAGTAGCCAGGCACACGACCTCCACTCCTGGCTGTGCTGCAGATGCCTGTAAGCAGAGCCTGGACCCTAAAAATCTCCAGCAGGGAAGCACAGCCATGTTGGGTCTGTCTTGTGTGTAGCTCACACCGGGCCCCAGCTGGCGGGCACCCCGCTCTGGGGTCAGTGTCCACAGAGGCGGAGCTGCTCTCTGGAGCCCTCTGAAGGCCCCACGCTGCTCTGTTGTCCTGGAACACCCCCCCCCATACCAGTGCCACCGTGGCTCAGATGTGGCTTCAGGGACGAGGCACCGGCACAGGGCGTGTGGTTTGGGGGCAGCAGAGCACAGAACAATCCCCGTGGCTGAGGTCTCTGCCCGTGGCGGCTCTCACGTGTGTCTGTGCCGAGAAGCCCTCAGCACCTTGTCCCGGAGGACACAACGCGGAGTGGCGCCGTTCTCTGTTCTGATCTCTGTGAGCCCGTGTGGTCGCTGAGCACCACCGAGGCACAGCTGGTAAGGAAACGGAGGTGGAGGCAGGGTCACCAAGCAGAGCCACGAGGGACTCTGGCCAGTTCTTAGCTCCCCACACGTTCCCCGTAGTGTTCTTGGAGTCTGGCTCCATGAAGCCCTTGCAGCTGATGCTCAGTCGACCTTTCACCCTTCACCCTTCACCTGCCCGCCCCAGGGCACCCCAAGCCCCCGCCCGCCAGAGCCCGGCGTGCCCGGCAGTTCACGGAGCCGGGGAAGGCTTAGCCCCATGGTGTGGTGAGCACTGGGAGAGCAGGATCTCCCCGCTTGGGGACACAGCTGGTGTGCGCCCCTCCTGGGGTACCCTCAGCCTGCCATTTCCCGCTGGCGGAAACGCATCCGGTGTTGAACAGGCACGTCAGGAAGCCACAGCGTGCGAGTTCGGAGCCCTCCGCTCTGCCAGGAGACCCAGGATGCCGCGGGATCCCACGGGGCTGTGGTTTGGCGTTTCTGAACATTCTTCCGTGAGCTCTCTGGCCTTCACTCTCTCACAGCCTCCCACTCCAGCTCTACACGCCTCGAGCCTGTTTCCTGTCAGCTCCAGTTTAACCACAGATGTCTCGTTAAGAAATTAAGAAATGGCAGCAACACTTCCTAGCAACAACATTACTCACGAAATAGACCCCGCTTCCTTGGGGAAAGGAGCGGGGCTCAGAGTCTCAAGGGAGCACGGGTGCTCCCGAGTTAGCCTGTGTGACGTGTCTGTCTCTAGTCAGCTGTGCACAGATCAGCGCAGCGCAGGCATAGCACCTGGGGACTGTCACACTCGCATCCGTCCACGAGGAGCTGTTTACCACCTGTCTCCTCCCAGAGCAACTGCGTACGCAGCGAGCAAGCATGCCTGTGCTTACCCAACCTGTTCTTGTGTGTCTGTTCTTATAATGCCATCTGGATACCTATGCACAGTTAGCTGTGTCATCCCAGTGGGAAATACTGACACTACAGGCTGTGGAAGATTCACCCCAGTAGAGACAACTAAGATAGATGCATGTGTGTGTGTGTGTGAGAGAGAGAGAGAGAGAGAGACAGACAGACAGACAGACAGACACAGAGACAGAGAAAGACAGAGAGAGAGAGGCAGAGAGAGAGTTCCATAATACAGAACTCTTCAAGTTCCTTGTTCCCTTACCTGCTCCACTCTGCTGGACCCAATCAGGGGATCATGGGAGTTTCTAACAACTTACAGACCATGCATCTGCTTGTGTATTTCTGTAACGATCTCAGTAGTACATGCACCGTTTGAACTTGGCCTCCGAAACTAGATGGCATTTATGCAAATATGACATCAATGGAATAAAGCATCATTATTTCCAGATCTCTAATTCTCCTTCCTCTTTTGTTTCCAGCCGTTCAGCTGTCAGACCTGCCGGGAGCACGAGGCTGGGATGTGTGTGGGGGGGGGGAGGTGTATATGTGTGTGCCTGTATGTATATATGCCTGTATGTGTGTGTATGTGTGGTGAATCTGTGTGTATATGTGTGTGTTTGTGAATGTGTGTATGTGTATATGTGTATGTGTCTGGTGAGTCTGTCTGTGTGTCTGTATGTGTATGCATGTATGTGTGTGTGTGGTAAGTCTGTGTATCTGTGTATCTCTGTGTGTGTGTCTGTATATCTGTATGTGTGTGATGAGTCTGTGTGTATCTGTGTGTATGTATGTTTGCATACATGTGGTGGCTCTGTGTATATGCGTGTATATTTGTGAATGTGTGCATGTATATGTATATATATGTATGTATGTATCTGTGGTGAGTCTATGTAGATGTATGTGTGTTTATGTATGTGGTGAGTCTGTGTATCTGTGTGTCTCTATGTGTACGTATGAGTGTGTGTGTCCGTGTGTTTGTATGAGTGTGTGTTTGTGTGTTCTCTTTGGGTGTAGGATGGGTCCTGGATCAGCTGAGTGGAAACTTGAGGTCCCCACTGAGCCGCTGTTACAAGGCCCCAGGGGATCAGCACGTTCCTCAGGACCAGCCCTGCTCCCCACTCAGGAGGCTGAGAGACAATGAGCTGGGCACACAGAGCGGAGCAGGGCGGATGCACAGTCCGCACCTCCGCTGTCCAGCGCCGAGGGCTCCGTCCACATCACCGCTTTGGTGTCCTGGGAAGAAGACACCGTAGAACTGGCAGCCGACCCGGCCCTGTGACGGGGCGGGTGGGGGGTGGGGGGTGGGACTTCTCCCCAACACGTCCTGAAGGGTCAGACAACGTGCTGCTGTCTCTGAGGTCCTGCTGCTGCCCAGCCCCCTGTGGTCAGCTCTCGGTTCTGGGCCATGTTGACATGGACTGTGACACCCTGTGGAGCTGGGGGAAGGTGGGCATGTGTGCGGGGGACAGGGAGGCCAGTGCTGCGTGGACACCTGGTGCAGGAATGGCCAAGCCCCCGCACGGCTTCCCCACACTGCCCCCCAGCCACAACACGGCCCATGCTGGGGCTGCCGCTCCCAAGGTACCCATGCAGCCACGCCCAGGTGGCCGGCCCAAGCCTCGGCCTGGCCTCCCGCTGGCACTGAGACCTTGTTCCTCCTGATTGCCCCAGAAGGGAAGCGAATTTCCCTCACCCAAGACAGCTGTTCTGGGTTAGTGGGGCCGAGTAGGTGGGCTGTGGCAGGGAAGGGTGCGGGCAGCTCAGCAGTGCCCTCCAGCCGGCAGGAGCAGGCCAGCGCTCAGGTGGACGGAGCCCTGCAGGACACGGGTCTGCACCTGGCCGGACCCACTGGATGCAGTCAGGAGGTGGGGTGGCTCTGTGGTGGGGTTTTGTGGAAGGAAGCCGGTTAGGACCAAGGCTGCTGAGGGTAAGGAGCAGCAGGAGCCCATGGCTGCCAGCAGGGAGCAGTGTGCAGCCACTTTTGAGGATGTGGTCAGCGTTCTGTCTGTCCCATCAGGGCCAGGTGTGGGCTGGTAAGATGGGTCAGCTGTGTGTGAGGGGGTGGGGGGTGGAGATGGAGCTGCTATGGGGGAGGGGGAACCACTGTGTGTGGGGGGGGGTGGAGGAAGAGAGGTTCCCAGCTGTAGGACCTGTAGGGGACAGGGGTAGACAGACATGGGGAGAGATGGGGGCAAAGGAAGCATCTAGAGTCGGCAGCAAGGTGGACTTCTCGGGCCACCTGTGCAGGGTGGGTCCCATGCCCAGGTCCTGCTGGAGGGAGGCAGCAGAACTGCCCAGAGAGGACGCCAGGAAGGTCAGGAGAACGCTGTGGCCACGTCAGGGCTGCTGAGGCCCCGGGCCCCGGGGCCCTCGATCCCGCCAGCAGAGGTCAGGCCTGGCTTGGAAGGCTGGATGGGTCAGAGATGGGTCAGAGCCCTCAGCTGCCTGGCACAGGGTCCCTCCCTAAGTGGAGGCCAGGCTGTCTGAGGTGTGCCTCAGTGTTCCTCCCAGACCAGCAGGTGGCGCAGAGAGAAGGACTATCCCAGGCTCTGGGTCATGAGACCTGAGCATCCTGACATTGTCCTCTGGGTCAGGCTGCGGCCCCACCTGCACAAAGAGGGCAGAGCTCTAAGGCCAGGGCCCCCCCACACACCTCCAACACAAGGCTGATAGCTGGGTGCTAGTGGCCTACATCTGTAATGCTAGACACTCAGGCTGAGATCTGAGGATCCCAGCTGAAAGTCACCCGGCAGGGAAGTCCATGAAACTGTTTTCTCTCATTAACCAGCACAAAACTAGAAATGGAGTTATGGCTCCAGTGGTGGAGTGCTAGCCTTGAGTAAAAAAGCTAACAGACAATGCCCAGGCTCAAAGTTCAAGCCCCAGAATGGGCATTAAAAAATAACAGCAATAATAAATAAAAACAAGCCTGTTACAGGAGTTGTCTCTTTCCTTTTTCAGAGGGAGGGGAGAGACCAAGAAACCCACCTTTATGATCAGGAAACAGCAGTGATTTCCTGCCCAGGATGGAGTCGGGAGTCACACAGTGGGGTGGTGGGTGTAGCATTGGGTGGTGGGTGTGGCTTTAGGATGATGGGTGTGGCCTTGGGTGGTAGGTGTGGCTTTAGGGTGGTAGGTGTGGCCTTGGGTGGTAGGTGTGGCCTTGGGTGGTAGGTGTGGCTTTAGGATGGTAGGCGTGGTCTTAGAAGGGTCCCTGTGGGAGCAGAGGAAACTCAGCAGACTGCACAAGTGGGCAGAGAACCCCAAGCCTCTCTGGTGTGAGTGCGGAGCCCAGCGGCCCAGGGAGGCTGGGCCAGTAGGGACCCAGCAGCCTCAGCCCTGGTGGCTGTGGATGCTTTGGGGACTCGATGGACTCCATGGACCACCAGGTCAGCGGTGTGTACTGCAGCCTCCTGGTTCATAACAAGAGAAGAAAGCTGCTGAGCTCGGTGGAGCATAAATCTGAACGTGTGGCCTGCGGGTGGCTTTGTTGACACGCTCCCTCACCCAGAAAGGCCTGAGGCACGCGTGAGTCGTGTGCGGAATGCTTCCCCTGGGCTTAGGAGAAGAGGGTCGGAGCAGGGTGCTTGTTTGTCCTGTGGAGTGGGCACCTGGCCTAAGCAAACTCACACCGTGCCAGGATGTTAGCCGGGGGAGCTGGGGACCCCTCTTCCGGGGGCCTCAGGACCCTCAGTCACGCACAGCCTGCTGCTTCCCCGCCAAGAGCCCGCTCACAGAAATAAAGACAGGCCACAGCCTCCGCAGGGGAGCATCCTCATGCTGGTGGGGTCTTTATTCCTGAGGACTTCTGGCCGGGGCGCGCGCGGTCAGCAGACTCGCTGGCCAGGGCAGGAGGAGTGTGGAGACCAGCGGGGCCCGGCCAGCCGGCCTCGGGGGGCCGGAGCCGGGGCGGCTTCAGAAGGTGCATTCTGGGGAGGAAGCAAAGGTGTTGCCAGCGTCACCGCCTGCCGGGCTTCCTTCGCCAGCTCTCTAGGGAAATGCGGGGTCCCCCCAGTCAGAGAACCACCCGAGCCCCCACAGTAGCTGAGGGTTGGAGCAGGGAGTTCGGGAGATGGCTGTGGTGTTGGGGTGTGGCCCCCAATGTGTGGATGGACAGGAGTGGCAATGGCCAGCTTCGCCCAGGCCCAGCCCTGGACCTTCATCCTCGGTCAGGGACCAGAGCTGCTGGAACCCAACCTCCTCCTATTATCTGTCAGCAGGCCCACCTGGCTGCTGCTTCTAGAAGGTACCTCAGACAGGGGCGTCCCTCTTAGAAGGTGAGCTGGCACTTGGGCAGGCTGTGCTCATCTCAGCCAGCCTGGCCCGGGAGGAGGTGGGGTGGGCCTCGCGGAGGCAGCTGGCGGCCTCCCCACACACAGCCACCTGCTGCCCCAGGGGCACACCCCCTCAGGGGTGGCTCCGGGAGGGCGGGGCCGAGGCACCTGACGGCCAGCAAGGCCACCCAGCAGCTGACCCCTTGAGTGTGTCAGAGACAACAAGGGACCCGGGAGTTCCCATTCTCTCCACGGTAGGGCTTCACGTCACCCCTCTGCGTCGTGCCTTAACGTGGACACATTTTCAGAGCTCTAGAGAAAGGGGACACGAGGGTCCAGCCCCAGCCCCTGGCCACTCGCTGTTCGGATGGGAACCCTCCGCCATTGCCCAGGGGCAGGGACACTGCTGGGCTGATGTCCTGCCGAAGCCCGACATGCAAGGATTCCTGGGGACCTCACATGACCAGCTCCTGCTGGGGAAGGCCGGGGCTTCCCCGGTCACCGTGGCAGGGTGGGGGGGGGGGAGGGGGCCTGTGCCCTTACCTGTCTCCTGCAGCGGCTTGAAGCACCAGGGAACGTTCCGGATGCTGGAGTCGAAGCAGCAGCCCCTGTTATTGCACTGCTCCTTGGTAACCTGGGGGTACCCGCAGTCCACCCGTTCCTTGGCTGGGACTTGGCACTGGCTTGCAGCTGTGCAAACGAAACCCAGCTGGCCGTCAGAGCCCACCAGTTTGGGGTTCACTCGCTTGTTTCATTTTGCAAGTTCGCATCCCTTCCCCTGCTCCTGAGCCCCAGGGAGATGGGCTTGCGTAGAGACACGGACACCTGCCCTGCACTCTGTCACGGGCACGTTCACCTGGTCAGGAAATCCAGCTGGCAGGACCCATGGGAACCGGGGGTCCTTGAACCCAGAAACCAAGCCCTTATTCCTTGTTTGTCATTGAAACCTGTCTTACCCATTGTGTGTGTGTGTGTGGTGTGTGTGTGTGTGTGTGTGTGTGTGTGTGTGTGTGTGTGTGTGTGTGCACCAGTGCTGGGTCTTGAATGCAGGGCCTTGGCTCTGTCCCTTAGCTTTGTCACTTAAGACTAATGTCCTACCACCTGAGCCACAGTTTTCTGGTGGTTCATTGGAGATAAGAGTCTCACAGACTTTCCTGCCTGGGTTGGCTTCAAACTACGATCCTCAGATCTCAGCCTCCTGAGTAGCTGGGGTTACAGATGTGGGCCACTGATGCCTGACTACTTTTCCCTTTTGTAAAAATGCAAATGTAAGCCAGGCACCCAGTGGCTCACGCCTGTCATCCTAGCTACTCAGGAGGCTGAGATCGCTTAGAGTTCAAAGCCAGCCTAGGTAGGAAAGTCTATGTGAGCCTATCTCCAATTAACCACCAGGAAACCAGAAGTAGAGCTGTGGTTTAAACTGGTAAAGCTCTAGCCTTGAGTGGAAAAAGCTCAGGGACAGCACCCAGGCCCTGCGTTCAAGCCTCAGGACAGACAAAAAAAGAAAAGAAAAAAGAAAATAAACTGCAAATGTAGCAGAATGGCTCTTACCTGCCTCCAGCCAGAGGCAAAGGCCAGGCGCTAAATTCTTCAGCCTGGCTACCTCCCATCTGCTCTGTATAAAAATGTTATGGAGCCAGGCACCGTGGTTCACACCTGTCATCGTTAGCTACTCAGGAGGCTGAGATCTGAAGATTGCGGTTCAAAGCCAGCCCAGGCAGGAAACTCTGTGAGACCTTATCTCCAATAAACCACCAGAAAACCAGAAGTGACACTGTGGCTCAAGCGGTAGAGCGCTGGCCTTGAGCTGAAGGGCTGAGGGACAGCGCCCAGGCCCAGAGTTCAAGCCCCACGACCAAAAAAAAAAAAAGTTATGGAAGCCGGGCACTGTGGCTCACGCCTGTAATCCTAGCTACTCAGGAGGCTGAGATCTGAAAATCTCGGTTCAAAGCCAGCCTGGACAGCAAAGTCTGGGAGACTCATCTCCAATAAACCAGCAGAAAACCTGAAGTGGCACTGTGGCTCAAGTGGTAGAGCACTAGCCTTGAGCTGAAGAGCTGAGGGACAGAATTCAAGCCCCACAACCGACAAAAACAAAAGTTCTGGAGCCAGGTATGGTAGTACACACCTGTAATTCCAACTTGGCCGGTAGAGACAGGAGGATGGCAAGTTCTAGGCTAGCCTGGGCTATACAGTAAGACGCTGCCTCATGAAACCCCAAACCAAACAAACCAGGGTCTAGAACTAACCCTTTTCACCTACCTCCCCTTTTGGTCTAGTAAGTTACCAAAATGAGGTCTAAAGACTTGTTTTATGAACCAGAAATATCTGCCAAAAAGAGGTGTGGGGTAGAAGATGAGTTTCCAGACCCCTGCCTAGCCTGCTCCAAGCCCCAGGTTTGACTTGAGATGGGAGGGTTGCTTTAGGTTCCTTAGCAACCTTCTCTGAGCCTCAGTTTCCCCATCTGCCTAATGGGGACAGTGAGAAGCCATCTGTGGGACTAGCAAGAAAAAGTGTCTGTGTGACAAATGACAATTTGTAAAAGGACACAGAGACGCTTGCCAGTGTTCCAGCCAGAGCCCAGCAGAGAGAGGGCCCCCCGCCCCGCTCAGAGGAAGTACTCACACAAGCCCACGTACTCCCCGGCCGAGCCGGTGGACACCAAGACCAGGCCAAGCAGCAGCCACCACAGCGCTCTGGGCTCCATGACAACCGGCAAGCTTGCGACCTGGCACGGGAGGCTGTGGCCAGCCCCAGGAGGGCCCCTTTATACCCCCGGTTGGCACCGCCTCCCCGATTATGATTACGTTTGCTTGGGCCCCCAGCTCCGCCTGCTTCTCTCCTGCCTGGAAGGATCGCCTGGGCCACGCCCCCCCCCCCAGTGGAGTGGCAGGGTAGAGTCACAGGCCCCTGGCAGGGTCAGCACGCCAGCCATCCCGTGACCTTAGGCGTCAGCCCAGGAGCCGTGCAGACCTGAGCTCACCATCGCTCATCCTAGAGGAGACCCAGCACCGGGAAGCCCAGCAGCAGCTGGGGTCCGGGTCTACCTGGAACTTTCATTGATTGGGGCGTGAACTCAGGGCCTTGTGCTAGCTGGCAGGCCCGCTGTGGTTTTGGCCACACCCATCTCCCCCAGAACTTTTTCCTCCGATTATTTTTCAAATGGGGTCCTTTGCTTGGCCTCTTGATCTCTGCTTCTCATCCCACTGAGATGATAGCTTTGTACCACTGTGCCTGGTCCTGTTGTTTTGCTGTACTTATTATTTAATGTGTCATTTTATTGTACGTACTTGGACAAAGGAGTTGCAATTTAACAAATCACGTGACAAGTACAGTGCCTCTTGCTCCCTCTCACCCCCTTCCACCATTCCGCCCCCCCGCCTGCCCCGCCCCTCCCCCCACGTTCTCATCTGGACATCGAGTACATATGACTGTGTGCATTGGCTCTTTCCTCTCCCTTTGCCTCCTCGTAGCTCTTCAAATGGAATTCTTTTTGGTTTTAGTTTTTGTTCAGCAAAACCGTTTTTATTATAAGCTAGATTGGACAAAAGGGACACCCCCTTGGTTTTTATTTACCTTTTCTCTTTTGGTATTGGAGATCGAACCCAGGATGTTGAACTTGCTAGGCAAGTGCTTTGCCAACGAGGTATAAGCCAGCCCCCACACAGCGTTTAAATAAATATCACAAACCTTCTTCCTCTTTGTCCCCCAGAGGACACATTTTAAAGCAAATAGCAGCCCTTTACCCAGCTTGCCTGTTTTCTTCCTTTGTTTTCTTTTGTTTCCAGTTAACACTGTTATCTTGGGAAGCAAGAATAATTACCTGTCTCCGGGAGGAGGCAACCAGGCTGCCATGGACGGTGCCCAGCCCGCATCTGCAGGGCACCAAGGCCCCTCATCCCTCTTCCCATCTGCCCATCCCAGCAGGCAGCGGCGTGGGAAGACAAGGGCCCTGGTGATGTCTGTGCACTTCTAGTGTCTTCGCTGCCGTAGGTCTGTGCTGTTGGCAGGTTTTCACAGAAAATAGTCACTTGTAAATCTCCAAGCACAGATCAAGCCCTGGCATCTCATGCCCACAATCCCAGCTACTCAGGAGGCTGAGACCTGAGGATCGTGGTTCAAAGCTAGCCCAGGCAGGAAAGTCCAAGGCTGACCTCCAGTTAACTACCAATGAAAATAAGCCAGAAGTGGAGCTGTGGCTCAAGCGGTAGAGAATGAGCCTTGAGTGCAAAAAGTCAAGCAAACACTCCAAGTCCTGAGTTCAAGCTCCCGTACTGGCATAAGGAAAACACAAGTCTTCAGGGGCCTCTTCTATCACATTGGGGCTCCGCACCGAGTGTGTATGAGTCAGCCTTGAGCCACCACCGTGAGGACCTGGAGCCGTCCCTCAGCGCCCACCCTGGGCCCTCCCCAGGAACTCAGTGAGGAAAGAGCCCAGTGCCCGCCTCAGGAAGCTTCCAGAGGGAGGGGGCCGTGCAGACCAAGCAGGGGGCTTCCATGCTCAGAAGATCAGCACAGGGAGCTGCAGCCTGGCCATGCCCTGTCCCCCCTCCGCCCTCCTCCCAGCAGGCGCTGCCCCCAGCTCCCCAGGTAGCCAGGCTACCACCACTCACTGGGCTTTGCTGCCATGTAAGAACCCTACTGCTGCTCCCTGAGCCCCCGCCATCATGCCCAGGACTGGGACTTGGGAGGGACCCCAAGAACGTCCAGTGGAGCCAGGTGCCGGTGGCTCACACCTGTCATCCTAGCTACTCAGGAGGCTGAGATCTAGAGATCACGGTTCAAAGCCAGCTCGGGCAGCAAAGTTCCTGAGATTCTCATCTCCAATAAACCACTCAGAAAACTGTAAGTGGTGCTGTGGCTCAAGCGGTAGAGTGCTGGCCTTGAGCTGAAGGGACAGTGCCGAGGCCCAGAGTTCAAGATCCACGACTGAAAAACAAAGTGTCCAGTGGGGAGGCAGGTCATGGCGTGTGAGATGGCAAAGCGGGGGGTCTGGCTCCCACGCTCTGGTCGTGGCACCGTGCATACCACTTTCCCGCCTGCCTCAGTTTCCTCTCGTATGCCCGGCCTTTGGCCCTTGGTGAGCTGCTGGTGCACGGTGGGTGCCCAGGGGCTCCGCAGCAGCCAGGTGGTGGACAGGCCAGACCCTGGACGCCCAGCTTGGTCGGGAGGAGGCACTGTCGGGAGGGGCGGCGGCCCGGCGCGGGGCAAGCTCACACCGGTGCCTGGGGCTCGGCTGGTATTTGGAGACAGAGCTGCTGTGTGTGCAGCGCCCTCCCCTGTGAATGGCGGCACCCTTCCAGGGACCCGCGCTCTGCAAAGCAGACCCGGATGGGGGCCAGGAGGGCCCCCCCCACCTTCTCCTCCCCCCTTAGCTCCTCAGGGCAGGTCAAGTTCCAGGGTGGAGCAGAGCTTAGGCCAGAGCCCGGGCCGAGCCGGGCTTGAGCCACACCCTGACAGGTGGTGACCGGGGCTCGGTTCCTCCCTCCTCCAATCCCAGCAGCCACCACCCCACCTGTGTGCAGGTGGATGGTCCCGGGAGTCCTCCCTCCTGCCCCGGGAGTCCTCCCTCCTGCCCTGGGGCTGTGCGGTGTCCCAGGCCACACAGGCTGGGCAGGGCCTCCTGCCATCCCAAAGCCCAAGTGAGCCTGGGGCTGGGGCAGCAACATCACCCGTGTGCAGGGCACACCACAGGCAGGTGGGTGTGAGCACGGCTCACAGCCGGGGCACACAGCCTCACACCCCGGGTGGAGCTTCGCACCCGAGCTCACCGCCCGAGAGAAAGAACTGAGGTGTGACACAAGTGCTGGCTGGATGGGTGAATTCTCACTGGGTCCTGAGGGATGAGTAGGAGCTGGCCAGGTGGGTGGCAGTCAGAAAGCCTTCCAGGAAGGACTCGGCTCTGCCTGCTCGGCTCTGCTGGCTCCACACAGAGATGCAGGAGGGTCGGACGCAGAGTCGTCTCTTTCTGTTCTCAGCCCCAGCCAGCAGCCAGGCCCAGGAAGAAGCACAAAGGTCAGAGGGCCCCGCCCGGGAGCGCCGCAGACCAGCTGCTGCCCGGGGCAGGGCCCCCGTCTCCACACGGCCTCTCTCCAGACCCTTCCTGAGCCTCCGGCCAGCTGCTGCCCGGGGCAGGGCTCCCATCTCTGCACAGCCCCTCTCCAGACCCTTCCTGAGCCTCCGGGACCCGGATGTGGGTGTGGTGGGGGTTCGGGATTCATGGTCCACAGGAGGTCTGTGGGCCCTGTTGAGGGGCACACAAAAGTGGTACCCCACCTACAGAAAGAGGGTCCCCACGAGGGCCCGGAGTTCCTGCCCCAAATCCGGGGCCCACGCCCATCCACCTCCCACAGGAAGACACCAGGGTGAGCCATGCCCAACGCAGGGAGTGGGGGTCTCCCACCCCCTTCCCGGTGAGCCCTGGGGCAGTGTGCAGGGGGAGGGGCGGGGAGCAGCCGGGCAGAGCTCGGCTGTGTGGACGCTGCCTGTCCCGGGCAGGACATTTGCCCAGCGGGCTCCATCTCCACCCCTGGGTGGGGCAGCGCTGCACACCTGTGCAGCAGGGAGACAGCTCCCGACGGCCCGGCCCAGCCCAGCCCAGCCTGAACTCCTTCCCACACTCCCCCGCCCCCTGCAGGACCCCACGGACCACGGCCGCCACAGCATGGGTTCTCACACAGCCACGGTGTGGGCGTGGGCAGCCGGGGGCCGCACCTGCAGCATCCACACAGCCCCGCCAGACCACCCCGGTGCCGCACGCCGGGTGGTGACTGAGTACCCACCCTCCTGTGGCCGGGGCTCTGGGGCACGCCTCATCCGCCCGCAGCCGTGACCACCACACGCGTGACCACCACGCATGTGATCACCACGCGGTGCCTTGCACAAACCCGGCCGGGGCCACAGCTCGGCGGATGCCGACACCGGCTGCGGCTGTGGAGCGTGCGCGCTGCTCCACTGATCTTTCTTTGTTTCTGGGAAGCAGAGCAAGTATTACAATCTCATTTATTAGAAGTTCTGATTGAGCCGGGCACTGGAGGCTCACGCCTGTCATCCTAGCTACTCAGGAGGCTGGGGTCTAAAGGTCATGGTTCAAAGCCAGCCTGGGCAGGAAAACCCATGAGACTCTTATCTCCAAGGAACCACCAGAAAACCGGAAGTGGTGCTGTGGCCCAAAGTGATAGAGACAACACCCACGCCCTAAGTTCAACTCCGGACCAACAAAAAACACAGCTATTACCTAATTTATATAAAAAAAAGTATGATTGTCTAATCGATAATCCATCTTCATGGTTTATTAGCTGTCCCGATAATGTTCTTTGTAACTGATTTCTTTGCCCAGAACCAAGGCTTCCTTGGTGTGTTTGGACTCATTTCTATTTAGGCATAGAGGGATTTTTTTTGTACATTTTAATGAGCTCTATTATGACACACACACCTTGATCATATTCTGCTCCCTCTGCTCCCGCCCCCCCCCCCCCCCCACGCTGGTCTCCTGCCTTTTCTCAAATAGTTCCCTTCTTCTGTCAAGTTGTTTGTTTTTTTTCTAACTTTAGATTCTGCAAATGTCTGCCTTTCTGAGTCTGGCTTATTTCCTGAAGCTTCCTCGTGAATCAGTAGAAGGGGTACACTGTACAATGGTGCCTACAAAAGTACAGCATGCTCACAACGTAAGCCAGTACCATTGGCTCAGTATCCACCTCAGGTTCG